CCACTTGCCTGGGGCCCCATCGGCTGCAGCGAGAGGCCCTCTCGTGGTGGCGCCCAGGGACCCCTGAGGCTGGTCCTCGGCCCTCCGCTGCGGGCCGTCCCCAGAGCCCGCTGCCTCCCTCCCCTGGCGCGGAAAGGGGGCCAGACTCAGCCCTGGAGGTTCCCCACCTGCTCCGCCCTGTCCTCCTCCCTCCAGGGTCTGCCCTTGGGATGGCGGCCCCCCCTCCCTCTGCCCCGTTCCCTCCAAGCCTTGCCTGGGTGTGTGCAGCCAAACCGAGGAGCAGATTTTCCTAGATTAGTCTCCCGCTCTTGCCGCTAGAGAAGTCGATCCCCGGCCCAGCCAGGCCAGCTGGTGGCAGAGCCTCCCCCCCCCCCCAACACTTCCCTGTTGGGGGGGGGGCAAGGGGCCCATGGCAAGGATGGCTAGAGGGTTGGGTGCCCGGCGTGCACTGGGGGCTCTTTCCCCTTCCCCTTCCCCTACTTTGGGAGGGCATCTGGCCAAAGGAGCAGTGTTCCCGCTAAGCTGAGTTTGTGTGAGCCAGCTCGCCGTTTCTTAGCCTCCGGCTCACGCGTTTCCATCTTCGCTCAGGAAGGAGGGCTCCGGAGCAGACTGATGTGTGCAGCAGCCAAACCGCTCGCTCAGCGGCAGCTCACAAGGAAGGATTTTTGCTCACAAGACCCCACAGCTTCAAGGGAACAGTGGCCCAGAGTCGCCAGGCCTGCGTTAGAACTGGAGCCCAACCTGATTTCAGAGCTGGGGGGGGGGGCACACCTGGGGGGGGGCTGCATCAGCTCAGCACGACCACTGCGGGGGGGGGGAGAACCATTCCAACCCACCCCCTTTGGGACACAGCCTGGGAGGTGCTGGTTGTGCTCTTGGCAGAACGATCCGTCCAGGGGAGAGGCGCCTGGCGGGCAGCCGAAGCTCCTGCCTGGCTCTGCAGGGGCGCCCTGGGGCCTGGGCGGCTTCCTCAGGGGACCACCGGGATGTTGCTCTCGCTGTAGCCCCTGGCAACGACTGCCAAACTGGGGCACGGATCGGAGGGACCTATGACGTGGCTCTTCTCTCTCCAGGCCAGGCGGCCAGGCAGGTGGAGAGAGAAGCTCTCAGAGTGGTGGGGAAGGGGGGGGGACTACTGGAAGAACAAGTAGGACAG